ATCGGATGTAAAGACCTACTGGTTAATAACTGGAACAAGAACAAAAACCATACCAACAGCACCATTAAGGTCACCCTTTATATCTCGGAGGTGGGAAGAATGGGTTAATTCTTACTGTAAAAATCCCTGAGCTACAATGGATGTGGCAAAACAGAAATTTTGGAATTTTTGGAGGAATTGACATTAAACATAATACCAAAGCAAATTTTCTTCATCAACTTCGCAGTTAATATCATAATCCGCGAATAGTGGATGATGAACAGTCATTCTGAGAACATGCTCAGCAGAAATACCCATCAACATTAGAGTCAGAAACTGAACATGGCATGGGAGCTGGAATATACTCCCCAGGTAAACATTTACATTATAACTAGCTGCTTTGTCAATACACATTTGTCAGCTAGGTAGAAGTAAATGTAATCATATGTGCAGCCAGGCCTCATTCAGATCATTTGCACCCAATAATGACGTCAAGACTGGTTTGGGGATGCCATGAAGAACTGAAAGAAATGGTAAATAAACAGAAGTATTCTAGAGCTTCCTCATTATGGATTTAAAAATGTGGAATACAATTGGATATACTCTTACCTAGCAGGAAGACGTTAATTTGTCAGGATATCGACAAACTCTTCTATATTGGATTTGGCGTGAGAGTACCCCTGGATTAATTTTGGTTACCGGCCTTTTTCTTCTCCACGTAAGTTATTAAACATATTTATGTGATGACACATTAATTCAGTGGCATGAACAAATATCTTCATGCTACATGCCACTGTGGAATGTGATCTCAAGACAGTCAATCTGTGCTGCAATGTCAATCTCTTAGCCTTTAATATCAGAGAAACCAAAGTTGTCACTCTCAAATGTATTCTACCAAAGCTAATTTTAGGGTAGACCACTATTGAAACTGTACAAAATTCTTCTTCATATAAGAACTCTTTTGAAAAAATTAGCCTCAAGATGTTATGCTCTCAGGATGGTTTCAAACGAACTAGGTTCCAGTCTGCCAAATGTGCATACTGTGACAGATGCACATTTAAGATATGGCATAGCATTCTGGGGTGCATGCACAACCCAGCTGTTGAATGCCATTTTTATAATGCAAAACAAGGGCAGTTAGATACATTTGCAAAGCAAAATGTAAAGCATTCGCCAATTTCGTGGATTGAGTCTTCTGTCGATCCAATAGATGGTGTCTTTATAACAGATGTTATTGCCTTTACTTACTCAGGCTTGTTCTTTAAGGACAGTTGAGCCTAGCAATTCGTACATGGTTCAGCCTGACATCACTGGTGAGACCTGTGATAGATTGAAACAGATTTGTCTCGTGTTGTATCAGGAATGCTTCGTTTTTGGGCTCCGGATTCAAACATCTTTACAAGGAAAATGTCCGAGAAAAACCAAAGAATGGCTCTAATAAAGCAGGTATTGACACGACTAGTCACTGGACTCTATACGTTTCAAAACATCTGAACAAAATTAAGCTTTCAGTTTATCATATTTTTGTATCAATATGAATCTTAGTGATAGTGTCAAACTACTCGGTACTTGGCTAGACTCTGACCTCAGCTTCTCTTCTCATATAGACTTTGTTTGTAAACAGCTCCATAAAGCATATTATGCAATTGTTCAAATGAAACCAATTTTAGACAGGAATGGGTTGCTGAACCTATACTATGCATTTGCATATAGCCACTTATCAAATAATATTGCAACCTGGGGGCTATCAACTGAGTACAAAAAAGTTTATATATCTCAAAAAAGACTTATTAGACTAATATTCAATTTGGAACATAGGGAATCCTGTATATCCACTTTTAAAGAGCCACCGTATTCTACCATTCCATTCCATATTTATCCTAAGATGCTTAACATTTGTGAAAAATAACTTGACTGAATTCAACATATTGGGAAGAAATAATAATTACTCTTCAAGAACATTTATTCTTGATATACCAAAGCATAGGACAGCAACCTTAAAAAAAATAAACTCTCTATAACTGTATATCAATTTACAACAAGCTGCCAAAGCTTCTTAAAGACATTAGCAGCTATGACAATTTCAAGAGCAAAACAAAGAAATATCTTTTAGAAAACTTCTTCTATACTATGGAAGAATTTTTCAAGCACTGAATGTTTACAAGTGGTTTATGTTAGCAAATATTTATGTACAGATATATGTTACTTAAGTTGCTTTTGTGAAGCTATTTGTTTTTATAAGTTTGTAATTTTTATTCCTGACATCTCTATTTTATATACATATATATTTTATTCATTTATGTTAGTATACCTATTCTGTGACCTGCCATTTGTACTGAGTGTATTCAATATGGTTAATAAATACTACTACTACTACTAGTCTAGTTGTATACAAAACTCCAGACATCACCAGAAGATGGCAAATGAGACTTTGCCGAAATGTTGTGAGAAAAATCCTTACTCCTTATGAGGATAAAATACACAGAACATGGAGTGAAACCCGAGAAAACAGCTCATCATACTTTGTCTATGAGAATCTTTGAGTTAACATTATTAGCTGAATTATTAAATAGGTCAGTTTTATTGATTGAAAGTGAAATTATAAATTTTGAAAAATGAAGTATCACATATTTGACATTTCCTAAAACACTCATTGAATAATTTTTTTCTATGTGAACAGAAGAAAATTTTCCCAACTAAATTATCAGTTCAATGTAGTTCTCGTTGGCTCATTTTGACCCTGTGCTTGCTCAATAAGGGGTTAATTTGATTGAAGTATAATATGTTATGTAGGTGTGAGAGAACACAGTTTGAACTCTGATAAGGAATCTTTTAGTGATAACAAGGTTTTAGATAAATAGAACTAGCACTTACAACTATTTGGATAAACCTTTTGTAGACAAGTTAGGAGACAGAAAATAGCTTCGGTTGTACATACCTATTTTTATATGCTCTTTCACTTCAGAGAGTTTGAGATCTTGGAATTTGAACACATCAAAATTAAGATATCTGAAGCATCTGCCAATTTTTTCCATGTCCTTATCAGTGCCATGCCTTTCAGGGCAAGAGTCAGTTTTGAATTTTTGATGATTGAATATGTAAACCATTCCGGGTTTCTGTTGCTTCATATTGTAGTACAAACTATATTTACTTGTAGTCATTAAAGCAGTTGGTATTGAAGTTTCAGACCTAAAAATCATAGGGTATACATTAGATAACCACTTGTTCAGCCCAAGAAAAAAATAAATACCTGTCGTTATAATTGAAATCATTTCCATCAAAACCATCAGGTGTTATTTGTATTACCCCCATACAATTTCCATCAATAACGTCGACGTCCTCCATTTCAAATATAAAATAATATGTTAATTATCACCACATTAGTACTTCAAGATCAAAGCCACGATTAAAGACCCATAAATCTCAAAGATGATCGAAATAGGATATTGAAATCCAATCAATGTTAGTACTAGGAGTCAGAATTAGGAATTCCCAATTCGGGGCAGGCTCGCACGAACAGGCATCGACTTGTTTGTAGTTGTTATCAAGTCAACAAGAATCGGGGGATCACAAAACATTGAAATAATATAGGTGCTTTCTTTTGTACACTACTTCGAACAATGATATCTTGATGATTTATATCCCGATTCACTGCTCACGTATGTGACAGGAGTCGATGGGAGGCACCGAAGAGTCAATCAGCACAACTGTCACTGTCACTTCCGAGCGCGGGAACATTGAAGGTTTTTTTAAATGAAACTGGCTCACCCATATCACAATTAGAAAAACTTACCAATAATTTTTGATTTTCACTATAGAAGGTTAACGAAAAAATAGTTTCGTAAACCTTTCATAGTGAAAATCACAGTGAGTTTTGATTTTGGAGTTTTTCTCGCGCAGACTGGCCACCACATTTTCAAGAAGAATTTGTCATTGGTACAAAACGAAAATATTTAATATGGCTTTGCCTTTCAAGACATGACTTACTAAGAGACATAAATCAGTAGGTACAGTTTTATCAACAAACACAATGATGGTCAGAAAGTTTGAACATTCGAGCATTCGAGTTTTAAAGCAGTTACTGCCCGAGCAGTAAAGTTTATTAGATTTCATTGTTTCTCCATGAAAATACGGCTATAAAAGAAATTGATCACAAAACCCTTATTTGTAAAAAGTTATGGTTCATGAATATAAAAGTTTTTTGTAGTAGTTCAAATGAAATAATTACGAAAGACAAAGGCTCTGTGAGTTCAAGTCCAAAAAATGACTCCAGTATGAAACATTATTTCATTGCTCCCATACCAATGCTATTTGGTATGGGAATATGACATTTTCAGACGTTTATTGAGTAATACAAGCATATAAAACATCATCCATGATGTTATTTACACAATTTTCACAAACATTACAGTTTCCACCGAAACTCGCCAAAAAATTGAATGGCGATTACGCCACTGAAGATGACTGCCGCAGTTCCAGTTGAAACGTTTGGAAATTATAACATTGACGCCAGCCGTGAAAGCCTACACCCCGAAATGAATTTTGTTTCACGAATTTTTACAAATGAAATGATCGTGAAAAAATATTTTATTATTTATCAGTGGCCAAAAGAAAAACCCTAACACCTTCCAACGAACAAACTGATTTGTCATTTGTCAATGTTATCAGTCACCATTCATTCAGCATTCAGCTGATTGACTTTCTTTTGACAATTGACATGTTTACTTCTATTTTTTTTAAACTGTTATTGATTGATCTCAATTCTCAATCTGTATTATATGAAAATGTCGCTCAGTGAACGGTAAGTATCCTTATTTGTTTGATTGATCAAGCATGGATGTTTTACAAAATATTTTCAGTGTTCAGGAGGAATTGGAAGCTCTGGAAGCTATTTTTATGGATGATATCTCCATAACTTATGATGAGAAGTATATGAAAATAAAATACGTATTGAACTCTGGACACAAAAATAATATTTATTTTCAGAAGTCGCCCAGTACTAGTCAAAACTACGATATTTCCTTCTACTGCTAATGAAATAGATAAACAGTATGTGTGTGTTACCCTTGAAGTTCGCCTTCCCGAAGATTACCCTGATCGCGAACCTTCTGTTCAACTGAGAAATCCTCGTGGATTGGATGATTCCACAATAAATAATTTGTATAAATCGATAAAAGAGAAGTGCACTGAATTCATTGGTCAAGCTGTAATGTATGAGTTGATAGAGGTAATATTTTTTTTTTTTTTTAATAGGTAACTATATATTTTATTTTCAGTTGATTAGAGAAAGTCTTACAGAAAGTAACTTGCCAACTTGTCAGTGTGCTGTATGTTTATATGGTTTCTCAGACGGAGATAGCTTTACCAAGACACAGTGTTATCATTATTTTCATTCTTATTGTCTAGCAAATCATCTGATCACAACTAAAAGACATTTTCAAGAAGAACAAGATAAATTACCAGCTTGGCAAAAGTCTACCAAAGGATATCAGGTATTATAATTCATTCTCCAATTTATTTCAATAATGATTTTCAAAATTGTTTGAGTATATTTTTCATTGTGAAATGAAGTTTTCACCAAGTGATAATTTTCATTCAGGCAACTTGCCCTGTTTGCCGGGAATCTATAAACTGTGATGTCAAAGAGCTTCGATTAGCTCTTCCACCAAAAGATTTAGAAAATGCTCAAAATTTCCAAGTTACCAGAGAGTTGATGGAATTACAAGAGAATATGAGACAACTATTCATATACCAGAAGAAGAAGGGAGGTATAATTGACATTGAGGCTGAGGAAAATAAATTGCTGCTTATCACTGAATCCAGTGAAGATACATCTGAGAGTGTTGAAGTAAGTCCAATTTTGATTTTCAAGTTTTTTTTTAAGGAAAAAACACAAGCACTACAGGAAAATCCTTAAGGCACTTTAAGAGCGGTCCCTGTGCGAAAGTAGCGACTCACATTGGATTTGAATTGCTGGACATTAAATTCATGATATAACTGAGATACTTTATTAAACAAGACTTTATTCAGCCAAAAATTTCAACATAACATTATTGTAGTCAGTTTCAGGCTGATCAAAGTATAAATCCTACAATATACACAAAAAATAAAAAATGTAAAAAAACACTAGCTGAGACTGAGTCTTATCATTTTTGGATGAAGCTATATATTTTGACAACAATTCAATAGAATTGTATCATTAAAAATCCCTTTTCATGTAGAAAACTTGGAATTTCCATGATTTTTCAAAATTTTTTCAAATCAACTTATTATTGTTCAATTGGATACATATGTTTTCTTCTACTTGCCTAGTTTTGTTAGTGTCTACTTGCTTGAACAAAATAAAAGTATATTCATCATTCACAAGTAGTTCATNAACTCGTATTACCTACCACAATGAAAAGGGCACGTGGATGATCGCAAAATAAACCTCCGCATGGAGCCATATAAACATGCAATAAGTTTCAATAAGAAACAGAGGCAACCCTGCTGGAGGTGGAATCAGATGAATTCAATAATGAAAAATTATATGAAAAGGAAGGGATGTAGGGTATGCATACCATTAGGATTTATTGTATCCATTAATGAAGTCATCCCGAATGATGAATAAGGTCGTTACTTAACTATGGAGAGGAGTGAGCTCAGTTCTGTACAGATAACCGAATGAAGCAGTCAGTATAGTGAGAGAGTTTATTTATTGTTTCCCATTGAGAATCATAACAAAAACAAAAAGTGATAAAACTTGCTATTAAAAACTAACAGTGGAATGCTTACCGGCGAGTGTTGGGCATTTATCTGCTGAAAACTGATCAAAAATAACTTTATGTGAATCATAGCTGGTGTCCTTTGCCCAAAGAATATCTACGTCTCCATGTGTAAGTATTACCATAACAAAACAGTCATAATTAGTATGATCAGTATTAACAGCTGAAAATATAATCAGAATTATTGACAGTCATGTAGGAAAAAACACATTTATTATCGAAGAGATAGAGTGCCGGTTAAATTATGGCAAAGTTGCGTATTTTAGAGACCTATTCAATGATGTAAAGAAATCGAATATAGCTCTTTTGGTTCTGGAGATATACAGGAA